GGGGGACCCTGAAGCGGAGGGGAGCAGCAGGCCCTAATAGTTAACTATAATAAAAGGCGAAAGCTCGCCGATTTGGTGATCGTTAGCAGAACGTCGCGGGCGGGGTGAAATCTGGCCGACTATCTTTTGCAATGACCCCCCGCCCGAAATACCTCGTGGTCTCTCTGAAACGCCATGGCGTTCCTTTCATGCTTATTAGTCTCCTTCCCGGAGAGCGAAGCTGGCGCTGAGAACAAAGGGAGCGGCGGGGAACGCGCTCTGAACCGCCGAGCCCTTCGCCGCAGCCCCAGAGACTGGCGAAAGCAACGAAGAAGAGGGTTTATAGACCGGTGAGGCCGTTCGACGGTAAAGAGCGGATGTAAGCTATTACGGGAAACGAATCTGACCACGATGGTTCTGTAGATTCGGATTTCCGCAAATCCGAATGCGATTGTTTGTCAAGGACAATCTTGAGCCTGGTATCAGGGCAACACCTACTGGTGGAAGAAAGGCTGGACCGGCGAGACGTGACGGGAGCAACATCTCCACGGGGACATGGAAAGGGAAGGGAGGCGTTCAGCCTGTGGTGGCTGCGCTCGCCCCCTGTCTGCCTGTCCTCTGGTTGTAAAGGGTCAAGAAAAGAGGGGTGCCTTGCTCAGCAGTTAATTTTTAAAGCCAGGCGCAGAGGTTCGTGTTCGCTTGGTTCTCTTTTGTAACTCTATCAGCAGATATGTCCATTGTTGAGGGATGTGCGCTCTAGCAGTGCTCAGATGCTCTTTGCTTGTTCCAAAAAGTTAAGCCATAGTGCTGATTACAGATTCCCTAGCAGAGTCATTATAAGCCTCAGCTTACCTGGACAGCCTTTTCTGCAGTAAATATCTATTGGCTCTGAATGTTGTTTACAAAATATACATTTCTACAATAGTAACTGCTGGACTTTGGACGTGCTACGTGGATAAATATAAAAGCTGGCTAAGTTTGATATAATTGCACTGTGCTGTTTTAAACAGTGACTGAACTGTTAATGAGTCTTAAAGGCCACTCTTACATAATCCATCAAAACTCCTTCACTGCACTCCCAGTTTAATTCTTCCTGCTTATGTAGCTTTCCTCTTGCCCTTGCCCTTGCACCAAATTCTTTCCAAATTCACAAAAAGCTTATTAGAACTGAGAGTTGTTTTTCATTTGTGAACAAATCATTGACTACCATTGTTTCTTAAGATACATGATTTTTTTAATCCATTCAGTCGTGTCCGATTCTTAGATACCTGTACACAAAATAAAATGCCAACTTTTATTTAGAGTTTCAGTGGTTAATGAAAACTTAAGTTATAGTTTCCACCACAGCCATCAATGTTGAACAAAGTCCATATGTGAGAGAAAGATACTAAAAGTGGCATAGAACTAAAATCTACTCTAATTTTTTATGAACAAACCCAGCCTGCTACATGTAAATTCATATTCATTTGTTTGTGGGTATAGAATTAGGGCACTTAACCAGTAGTTCTAATTTCACTCCATTGGGGAGGGAAGAGGGTATAATATGTTAATGTTGCTTAAAGCACTAATGGAAGACATTAAGACACTATGCTAATGAGAACAGTATAAAACCCATTGAGCATTCAATTAAATGCCTTGGGAGTCAAACCAGAATCTTCACATCCGTAGTTACATGAGATAGAACAGAATTTACAAATACTAATAAATGTTATTTCCTTGCACTATTGAATATAATATAATGGTGAAGGGAAAATGGTCAAATCCTGATACTGCAGTGATTCCTGTTATGAGTAAGCTTTGTATGAAAAGAAAGGACAGCTTTTTTTATCAGTACAGCAAAGCAAGAACTATCTAGTGGAATTATCTGACTGAGACATACCATAGTAAAGGAGTCTTCTCAAATAATTTGTAAACAGAAAATGTTATAATTACCTAAATCAATAATGTAAGTATGTTTTGTGTAAAATGCAAACATTTGCATTGCCTCTTCTAAATAGTATCCTGCAAACAGAAGTTCCTTTTTTTTTTAAATGCCAAAGCAATTCTGATGAATTATTTGCAAAATTATCTTTAATGTAAGAAAAGGACATGCTTTTTATTCAAAGCAACAGATGCTGTGAGATTAATCATTAAAATGTGTCATGCAATGCTACTCTGACCATATGAAAAGGAATGCCAAGTTAATTGGTCACATACCACATACCTAAAGTAAAAAGTATATATAAACTACCATAGTAATAGAATTATTCATTTTATTTATTACCCCTCCCATGACACCTAGAGGTAGGAAGAAGTAAGAGGAGTTTTCAAGGTTTTTTTCTTAAGCTCATGCTATAAATAAGTAATTTGATTTTTGTTTGTTTGTTTTTGTGCCTTCGCATCTGCCTGGATAAGTCCCTGCAGTTTTCTTGGCAAGATTTCGGAAGTGATTTGCCCTTGCCTCCTTCCTAGGGCTGAGAGAGAAGGCTGGCCCATGGTCACCCACCTGGGTTTGGGCCTAAAGTGGAACTAGGACTCACAGTCTCCCGGTTTCTAGCCTGGTGCCTTAAGCACTACACCAAACTTCTGTATCTCGATCGAAAATTATAACTTTAGCTTCCATTCCCACTGATATGTGACAAACTAATACAGTCGTCTCTCAGGTTCACACATGGCAATGTACACGAAGATTAGTTTTGCTGTGTATCATTCTACATCTTAAGATACTTAAAGTCAGACTTAGGGCATATCTACACTTACCATTGAAGCTACTCCTTTCCTGTGTTCATGCCAGCTGAACTCTAAACTGATTGAAGAATATCTTGTCTGGATTGAGACACTTTTGCAGTAGCTTGCAAGATATTCAGTCCAAAAACAAAAAAAAATCCCAGACTATCACATCCTCCCACTGTGTTCTCCCAACTTTTTGTTCCTGGAAAGGAATTGCTTTCCTTCCTGTGGGGGAGTGTCAGTAGACCAGACTAAGAAACCAAAGCAATATAGGTCAGAAGTACTTTTGTTGTAACAACTATAGTAACAGAATCTTGCAAGTCTGTGCTCTTCCCACTCACTTCATCTTTGTGTGAACTAGGGAGGGTCCTGTCTGAGACGTTTACTCAAATTAACTTCTTGGAATGGGTTCAAGCCCCACTTGTCTGATCCTTGCCTTGGTAGTGACTCTTCCTCCTTTTCTTCGAGGCCATTCCCTATTCTCTCCACATCAATGTTTCTCAACCTTGGCAACTTTAAGATGTGTGGACTTCAACTCCCAGAATTCCCCACCCAGCTGGCTGGCTGGGGAATTCTGGGAGTTGAAGTCTACACATCTTAAAGTCACCATGGTTGAGAAACACTGCTCTGTATCTTACTGGACATATATACTTTTATCTGTATGTACAGCATATATGTAATATACAAAGTTAAATTGCAAGTATGTGCATTTTAGGACTTTAATTTTGTACATATAAAGTCCTAAAATGCACATACTTGCAGGCATGACAAGCAGCTATTTGAACCATTACTATTTATTTCTACTATTTATTTCCTACTTTTCCTTGTATTTTTTTAAAGTCCAGTGACGCACCATTTCATCGTGTTTCTAGTCACCCTCAGCTCCCAAATAACTTCTGTCTCAGGTGACTGGGAAAACTGAAATGATGCACATGCTGGACTTTCTTCCTTTTTTTCCTTTAAAAAAAAAGGTCTAAAAGACTATGGTAAGCATTGATTCATTTGAAAGGGCGTTCACACCTCTGAATGAGTAATTAAAGTAAGCAATGAACTGCTAGGGTTAATCTGCAACAAACTGAAACATGCTATCAGAAACAAGAATAGCAACAGAGGCGAATCTGTGTAGCCCAGGGTTGAACTGTGGAGTCCGTGGGGTTTTCTGAGCTTGGTTCTTTTCTTGCAAACGTTTCATTACCCGGCTAGGTCACATC